AGGATTTACCTATTTGACTGTTATTATTTTACTTTTATAATTGTTATTTAAAGATAAAAGTCAATATACTGTAAATACATTCATGTCTTCTATAACATTTTCATAAACCGTTGAAATAAAAATGTAAGGTGTTACTATTATATTATTATTATTATTACAGCTTCGAAATGCTTTGAAGGGATTTGAATTAATTTGTACCCTCGAAGTATATTTTCAGGTTAAAATATTCTGATTTTATACGTTTTTTCCTGCACGTTTAAATAAAAAGGCTGCCACATGGGAAAAAAGAAGTTCTATTTACTTCATGTTGATTTAGTAGAATAAAGAAAAGGTATCCCCGTCTCTTGTCAGAAATATAATCTCACACTCGAATGTATGCCGTAAGTTTATTTTTCTTTGGGTATATCTTGTGTCCAAAGATTCGTATTTTCCAAATCTAAACCAAATACACTCTAGAAACAAACATCCTACTCGTTTTTTATTACACACACAGTCATAACAAATAAAAATCGAGATGATGATCTTATTTTCCACTATCATATCCATACAAATACATATATAATCCGTTCACAGGAGGAAGTTGACATACACTCTATAGTATTCTTGACATTCAGATAATTTTATCCAGCAAAAGTGAAACATTTCGGCGGTAGAAGCGGTCGGAAATAAAAAAAGAATTATAAGTAAACCTAGTAAAAATACTGCTTTGGTTATAATGTTTTGATAACAGTCTGAAAAAAATTTTCCCTTCGAAGTCATTCATAAAATACATTGTTCAGAATTTCAACTTTTTGGACCACTTCCTTCCCTTCTTCGTCACGCTAAGTCATTCTTTCAGTGACCCGTTTAACAAATATTATATCACAAAAGCTAGTTTCTCTCTCTACAAACGATTACTTATGAATCAAAATTACAATGAGAATGACTTTTAGCTGCCAAGTTAAGAAAAATAATAAAATAAAATTGATAGACTGCAAACATCACATTTCCTTAGACCCCGTACCCATTGCGAACGTATTTTATGAAGGACCCCTTCTTCGAGCATAACCTCCAATAGCTTTTTTCTTCGATTCTGTATGAAAATTCAGTTCTTTTTGGCGGGAATATTTTCCAGAAATTCTCTTTAGATATTACAGGTATTTTAAAAAATACAACGTGTAATTATACAACACGCTACTGAAGTGAAACTACTTCAAACACACAAACATACCGTGGTAGGGGTTAAGGAATTGGTTTAATGGTATTATCTGTACATTATGAATTTAAATTTTACACTTTACATGCCGGAGTTGCCTGTAACGAACGTTGCATTGAAGCGCGCTCACGGCTCAAGCGATCCCCACTACGAACTCGACTACGTGACCGAGTAGAGGGGGGACATCCGTTGCATGATTTCGTTACATAGCAACTCGCATGAAACGAACTTACCCTACCTTAAGTAAAGAAGTTTCACTTCAAAAATCGTCCTACAAAGACATTAATTATTTAATTATATACTTTAAAAATTAAATTTGCGACTCAAAACTTTTATGTATTTATTACCATACAAACTAAAATCTGTACTTGGTCCAGAAATATAGTCCAGCTTTTTCTTAAAATTATAAGACGAAATTTTAAGTCCTTGACATCTACCTTCATAAAAAATAGAGCAAGTTCTACAAAACGTCTTGTGGCTCTACAGTTCTTATTAACAATATATCGCTAATAATTTTCAATCTAGACATCATAAGGGCTGCAAATATTAAAACCAACACTTAAAATTTTACTTATTATCCTGTTCTTTCATTGTCCAGTCCTACGATTGTGATTAACGATGAAAAATTGAGCGTATTATACATACATATGTATAGGAACTGTCTCGTTCGAGTGGAAATGAATATTATGAGATTAGCTTTAATCTGCCTAATTAAAATCGAAACAACATCTGGAGCTTCTCACAATATAGACGCTTTAAGGGTCTTAGGAATATTACAATTAATTGAATCAGATGAGGTTGCTTGAGCATAGGCTCTGCTTTCCGTAACTGAGAGGACATTTAGGGTAATCTTCTGCAGATCATACAGCAAAAAGTAGGTATTTATAATAATTACAGGGTGCATAAAATATAATTACAAAAGATTAACATAAAATTATATCTACAGCAAGGGAATGACACAGTAAGCGCCACCTAACGTTAGAAAGTCGGGTAGCTGCTGAACTGAGGAAGCTTTCTTTACATCGAGAGATAGCTTTCATTTATCATCATTATAAGGTCATCAGTCCCAAGACTGGTTGGACACGTGCCTCCACTCTTTCCTGTCCTGAGCTAAACTTCGCATTTCCCTAAAACTAGAACAACCCACATCCTTAACTATTTGCGAACAGTAATTTAACTTAGGTCTACCTTTACCCCTCCTAACTCCTGCTTCTGCCTCTAATATGTCTCTGACTAGACCTTCATGCCTGAGTAACCTACCAACCTATTTTGTTTATTTTTTATTGACTTCCGTAGAATCCTCTGTTCTCCTGTCCTTTCTAATACCTCTTCATTTCTAACCTTTTCTACCCACGTTATCCTCATCATTCGTCTATAACACTACATTTCAAAGGCTTCTCATTTAACATGAAAAAAATTCAAAACCAGAATTTATTTATTTAATTTAACATTAAGGACCTCTATAATTTTGTTGATTTGTAATAATCTTTTTAATTTTAATGCTGTTAAAAATTCATTAAATCGAAAATAATCGAATATAATTTGGACCTTGAGACTTGAAATTTGGAGAGAACATTCCTAGAGTCCTTAGGGATGCACGAAGGGAAGATTATTTGAAATTACACACAGCCTACTTCACTGGGTCTAAAAGTTTAATACTTGAAAATAACATTCAAAGGGTACACTATCGAAGGGTCTTTTGATTTTCAATCCGTAAAGGGATTAAAGTGACTTACTGACTCATATACAATGCACAACGTAAATTGAAGAACCTAAACATCTGAAATATGGGGAAAATAGTCTTCGAATATTTGAAGAGCACAATAAAGAGGGATTTTTCATAAGTCGCAAGGGGTAGAGGTGAAAAACTAAATAAAAAAGTAATTGAACAGGGAATTGAACCGGCTTAAATAGCAATAATTACCTAATGGTAGAATTGATTTGGGTTGAAAAGTCGTGGTTTAAGAGGAATGCAGATTTTGGAATATGTTAAATATTCATGTGCTTACTTCATTTTTAGGACACTGTTAACTTCATGATAACCAAATACAGTGTGAAATGATTTTTATTATAAAGATTAATAACTTTTCGTTAAAAATGACTTTGATACTTGTTAAATTCGCAAACAGCTTGGTATGATTTTTCAGTATCGTAACTTCGAAATGTGGTGTTATAGGCGGATGATGAGGATAACGTGGGTAGAAAAGGTTAGAAATGAACAGGTATTGAAAAGAATAGGAGAACAGAGGACTTTATGGAAGACAATAAAAAATAGGCGAGATAGGTTGGTAGGACACCTTCTCAGGCATGAAGGTTTAGTCAGAGACATATTAGAGGCAGAAACAGGAGTTAGGAGGGGTAGAGGTAGACCTAGATTAGATTACCGTTCGCAAATAGTTAAAGATGTGGGCTGTTCTAGTTTTAGGGAAATGCGAAGTTTACCTCAGGATAGGAAAGAGTGGAGGTACATGTCTTAGGACTGACGACCTTATGATGAACTTCGTAACCTCACAATTTTGCAGGGATTTGTATTTATCAGCCACTTGACGATTGTCTTCAGTCTTAGTAATAGTCTGAATAACCAAAACAGTGTTTTCACCATTCCACGAAATAATTGTTGCAATCATAGTCATATCTAACCTTGACGTTTCACGAACATCATCTCAATCTTTTTATCATATTCCGTTAAAAATCATGGGCGAAAACCCAGCAACTTTCAGGAAAGGCTTTCGCCTCTTGGAAGTACATCAGCGTCAGCTTGAGGACATTTCCGAAACTGGTAATATTTTCAATGTGTACAGACAAAAGATCGACTCCATGTTCGAATCCGATTCCAGTCATGGAACTGACAAGGGTGATGGCAACTATCGGAGTTCTTATCAGACAGTCAGCAATAAATAGAGTTCAGCTACTTCGCCTGGAATGGGTGTAATCAATGGTTAAAAATTACGCGAAGAGTGACCACTTCTTTTCATCAACTGTAGTGGTCACAGCATAGTGACATCATGCGCGTTCTCCAAGGTCGTAGGAGCGTTTTGAACCCCGGCGGTTTTTGAAACACTGGCGCTAATAAGTTGTTGGGTGTTATCTTTACGAGTGATTTGCTTTTGTAGTAGATAGATAATATTGGGTGTTCGGAAAGTCATTTCGTTTTTTCCCGACAGAGGATTTAATTGTATTATTTTGCACTTGCACCCAACTTCACATTTAAGCCGTATAATTTTTATATGCTTTGAGAGCTCATATAGTAAGGCTTGTGTGTGAAAAATTCCAATTAATTCTACGCAGTAGTTTTTGGTTGGTNCTAGTTTTAGGGAAATGCGAAGTTTACCTCAGGATAGGAAAGAGTGGAGGTACATGTCTTAGGACTGACGACCTTATGATGAACTTCGTAACCTCACAATTTTGCAGGGATTTGTATTTATCAGCCACTTGACGATTGTCTTCAGTCTTAGTAATAGTGTGAATAACCAAAACAGGGTTTTCACCTTTCCACGCAATAGTTGTCGTAATCATCGACATATGTAACCTTGACTTTCGCGAACATCATCTCAATCCTATTACCCTATGCCGTCAAAAATCATGGGCATTGAAAAGTCGTGGTTTAAATAACATCTTTAGTGGTATTGCGTGGATGAACCTATCAGTTCAATCTAACAAGGATTTCGGTTGTAGAAATACATGTTCTTAAATTAGTTAATTTTATGAATCACTAAATATCAAATTACTGTCCCATTTACACTTTTATACTCCTAACATCGTACCTTCAAATGTACAATACTGTTTGTTTCTCTTTGCAGGCTTATCCTTTTCAATGAACAAGTGCATTAAAATCATCAGTCATGGTAACTGCCCTGGCATCATCAGGCTGCTTCAAGTCTAATCCTACGCAACGGTGACGTCTGCTATTCGATCAGAATAATTAAAACAGGGGTTTTACCCTTCCACGAAATAGTTATAGTGATCATGGTCATATGTAACCTTGACGTATCACGAACATCATCTCAATCCTATTATCCAATGCCGTCAAAAATCATGGGCGATCCCCCAGCACCCTCCAAGAAAGGCTTCCGTCTCATGGAAGCCCATCAACGTCAGCTTCAGGACAATTCCGAAACTGGTAGCATTTACAGCGTGTACAAACAAAAGATCGATTCCATGTTCGAATCTGATTCCAGTCATGGAGCTGATAAAAGTGATGGCAACTACCGGAGTTCGTCGAAAAATAGTGTTCAGGCGCGAATCGAAAAAATGTTTGTGGAAGTTGCTAACGATGAAGGACTAGCACCGGGTGGGAGTGAGTTGGGGGTGGGAGTGCATGGGTTTTCGGTAGATTATCTGGGATCGGTGGAGTTGGTGGACAAGGTGACAAATTTAGCTGGTCTTCAGGAACCTCTCAAAAAATTGTATTTCCAATACAAAAATGATAAAAGTCCGAGAAGACTGGAGCAGAAGCCGTTGAGCGAGAGGCTCGAGATATCGGCAATGGGTTTGAAGGTTCAGTACAGATCTGATAAAGGTAAATTGATGAAACAAGCAGTTTAAACGTTTACTAAACTGAACGTTGGTCATTTTTAACTTGCACATAAGCATGATAGGCATAACTAGTGTCAAAAACTTGGGATGATATTCTAAACCATTAATAGAAATAATTTTTAAAGAGACACTAAAATGAGTTTAACGTACAGCAAAAGACAATACGTACCTAAACCCTTAAACAACTAAAATATTATGAAAACTAATAAGATGTGAACGATTGTATATTTAGGTACAACCGGAGAATCAATAAAAAATGGCTAGTGATATGATTTTTAACGTAATTTCAAACGCTGGGTTTGAACCCGATCTCACTTTCCTGAGATTTTGAAATATCGACCTGTTTGATTTTGAGGTTAGGATAACCCGAAATATTGTACTAGGCAATACTGGGGCAAAATTTTGAGTTGGTCTTCGAAAAGTAGTTCCAAAACCGTAACCCTGTATGTCTCTTCTCTTTTAAATACAGAATCCCAGAAATTCTGTATTTTTTATGAGCACTCGTTATTGCCTAAAATGAGTGGCGCGGATAGGTACGAGACATTTAGAATAATTACTTTAACTTCTCATGCGTTAAAAATCTTAACTAGAACTGTACAGAGAAGGAGTATCAGATTCTAGCAAAGCGGAGGAGTTAGAGATATCAATAAAATGGAAGCGGTATTGACAATACAGTATTATATAAATAAAGGTAAAACAACAATACTGGTATAGAAGAGTAGAAAAAGTAGGAAAAGAGTGAATATAAAGATAGGAGACGAATAATCAGAAGTCATCGACTTTCGGTATCCAGGATAGGTCAGGACGGAAGGAGTAGTAGTGATATAAAGCAGAGATTAGCATAGAGTCAAGTCGCCTTTAATAAAAAGAAGTCTCTTCTGTGCTCGCGAACGATTAATTTAAAAATTGGAAAAGATTGTTTGGAGCGCGGCGTTGTACGGGTGCGAAACATTGACGGTGGACGCGACGGAAAAGAAAAGGTTAGAAGCGTTCGAAATGTGGTGTCACCGGCGAATGATGAGAATACCTTGGATAGAGAAGGTTAGAAATAAAAAGGTATTAGAAAGAATAAGAAAGAATAGGAGAACAGAGGACTCTACGCAAGTCAATAAGAAATAGGCGAGATAGATTGGTAGGGCTCCTTCTTAGGCATGAAGGTGTAATCAGAAAAATATTACAGGCAGAAACAGGAGTTAGGAGGGGTAGAGGTACACCTAGATTAGATTACTGTTTGAAAATAGTTAGGGATGTGGGATGTTTTAGGGAAATGCAAAAATTAGCTCAAGATGGGAAAGCGTGGAGGTGCGTGTCCAACCAGTCTTAGGACTAACGACCTCATGATAATGATAACTCATCGTTTTTAGGACACTACTAATCAATTTGGCCGAATCTTTCTTGACATTCAATTGATCTTATACGTTGAAACTTCGAGATATCCAATTCTCCAAATCAAGTAGTCAATATTAGCGATTTGGCAATTTTCTTTATGGTATTAAGATATGTTTCAAAAGCTTGATATATAATGGGGGAATTCTAAAGTCAAACACGTCGAAGATAACCGTCCTCTTGGCTGTTTTGACCGTCAACTTTACATAGAACTACTCTCAATAAGACGAAACACTATTTTTGTTAGTCTTTGAGATTAAGCCATCTCAAAATCTTGACGAATTACAACGACTTTTAGATAGGAGTGGACTGACGTTGGACATTGTGAAATCATTTTACGATATTCTGATTTTCTGCACAGGAGACATCGAGCAGCTGAATCCATTTCCGACGATAGCAGTGTGGTCGGCTGTGAAATTTGTTTTACACCATGCCGATCCACCCAACACGTCCACGTGTGCCTTTCTGCCCTTAATAACCGACCCAGACAATCTCGATAAACAAGGACTGTTCTGTCAACTGAACGCATCCGAAATTGCCACGTTCCAGGCACAAGGGACACAGAAACCAGATTCTCATGCCCCTTTATTTGCCGTAGTCATGCGAAGTAATGGTAAGTAAACAATGAAAGGGAGCAAACAATTTTTATTACCATTCGGTTTGTTTCTAATTAGTGCTACGTGTATTATCTACTCGTTGTTGTTTGTATCTTGCTCTTTATCACGCAGGCAAAACAAAATATATGCAAATGAAGAGGAATGCAGATTTTGGAATGTGTTAAATATTCATGTGCATACTTCATTTGTAGGACACTGTTAACTTCATGGTAACTAAATACAGTGTGAAACGATTTTTATTATAAAGATTAATAACTTTTCGTTAAAAATGACTTTGATATTTGTTAAATTCTCAAACAGCTTGGGATGATTTTTCGGTGTCGTAACTTCGAAATGTGGTGTTATAGACGGATGATGAGGATAACGTGGGTAGAAAAGGTTAAAAATGAAGAGGTATTGGAAAGAATAGGGCAACAAAGTATGGAAGTCAATAAAAAATAGGCGAGACATGTTGGTAGGACACCTTCTCAGGCATGAAGGTCTAGTCAGAGACATACTAGAGGCAGAAACAGGAGTTGGGAGGAGTAGAGGTAGACTTAGATTAGATTACTGTTCGCAAATAGTTAAGGACATGGGTTGTTCTAGTTTTAGGGAAATGCGAAGTTTAGCTCAGGATAGGAAAGAGTGGAGGTACATGTCTAACCAGTCTTAGGACTGACGACCTTATGATGAACTTCGTAACCTCACAATTTTGCAGGGATTTGTATTTATCAGCCACTTGACGATTGTCTTCAGTCTTAGTAATAGTCTGAATAACCAAAACAGTGTTTTCACCATTCCACGAAATAATTGTTGCAATCATAGTCATATCTAACCTTGACGTTTCACGAACATCATCTCAATCTTTTTATCATATTCCGTTAAAAATCATGGGCGAAAACCCAGCAACTTTCAGGAAAGGCTTTCGCCTCTTGGAAGTACATCAGCGTCAGCTTGAGGACATTTCCGAAACTGGTAATATTTTCAATGTGTACAGACAAAAGATCGACTCCATGTTCGAATCCGATTCCAGTCATGGAACTGACAAGGGTGATGGCAACTATCGGAGTTCTTATCAGACAGTCAGCAATAAATAGAGTTCAGCTACTTCGCCTGGAATGGGTGTAATCAATGGTTAAAAATTACGCGAAGAGTGACCACTTCTTTTCATCAACTGTAGTGGTCACAGCATAGTGACATCATGCGCGTTCTCCAAGGTCGTAGGAGCGTTTTGAACCCCGGCGGTTTTTGAAACACTGGCGCTAATAAGTTGTTGGGTGTTATCTTTACGAGTGATTTGCTTTTGTAGTAGATAGATAATATTGGGTGTTCGGAAAGTCATTTCGTTTTTTCCCGACAGAGGATTTAATTGTATTCTTTTGCACCCAACTTCACATTTAAGCCGTATAATTTTTATATGCTTTGAGAGCTCATATAGTAAGGCTTGTGTGTGAAAAATTCCAATTAATTCTACGCAGTAGTTTTTGGTTGGTGCCCTTTTAAATATGGAGAGCGATAAGCAGCATTTTCGACATATCTTACTGTTTTACTACAGAAAGGGTAAAAATGCTGTTCAAGCCAGAAAGAAATTGACTGATGTGTATGGAGAAGGTGTGTTGACAGTACGCCAGTGCCAGAACTGGTTCGCTAAATTTCGATCCGGCAATTTTGATGTCGAAGATGCACCACGTTCGGGAAGGCCGGTTGAAGCTGATAAAGACGCGATAAAGGCATTAGTTGATGTGAACCGGCGAATAACAACACGTGAGATCGGATTGAGGTTAAATTTATCAAATTCAACAGTTTATGACCACTTGAAAGGCCTGGGATTATCCTCGAAGCTCGATGTATGGGTTCCCCATGTTCTCACAGAGAGAAATCTGTGTCGCCGCATTGACGTCTGCGATTCGCTTCTCAAACGTCACGAAAATGATCCGTTTTTGAAGCGCATCATCACTGGGGACGAAAAATGGGTTGTATACAACAACGTCAAACGCAAGAGGTCATGGAGCAAAAAAGATGAACCGGCTCAAACCATTTCCAAAGCCGATATTCACCAAAAAAAGGTGATGCTGTCTGTTTGGTGGGATTTTAAAGGAATCGTTTTTTTTTAGCTTTTACCGGATAACACAACGATTAATTCGGAAGTCTACTGTCATCAGCTGGACAAACTGAATGATGCACTTCAACAGAAAAGGTCAGAACTAATCAACAGGAAAGGTGTAGTGTTTCACCAAGACAACGCGAGACCTCACACAAGTTTGGTCACTCGCCAAAAGCTTTTACAGCTTGAATGGGATACAATGCTACACCCACCATATTCTCCAGACCTGGCACCATCGGATTATTATTTGTTCCGGTCACTCCAAAATTTTTTAGACGGTAAAACCTTCACCTCAAATGAGGAGGTCAAAAACCTCCTCGATCAGTTTTTTGCCAGCAAAGACCAAAAATTTTATGAGCGTGGAATTATGCTACTACCAGAAAGATGGCAAAAGGTGTTGGACCAGAACGGTCAATATATAATTTAATAAAGTATTTGTTTATTATACGAAAACTGTCTTTCATTTCCACAAAAAAAAAACGAAATGACTTTCCGAACAACCCTATATTATAAACTAGTATCGTCCGATTTTAGTCGTGTGGTTAGTGCCATGTGCTACGATGATTGGTGATCTACAGGTCGGACGAAGGAAGCTGGCGAGCGGTTGCGCAGGTACTTGCCCATTTATGACTTATTTGGGTAAGTCACATGGAACAGATACACAAATAAGCTTTCAGTAAGCATAAATTATAGTATTAATACAGATAGGACAGTAGCGTAATAGAAAGTAATGTAGAAACATAACTTACCAAAAAGAAAAATAAACCTATTGCTTTTGTTTTACAGTTAGTTTTCACATTCACTCTTATCATGGGAATCTCTATCACTGTCACCAACATCAACAATTAGTTCTTCTGTTTGTATGTCTATTACTTGCTCACTAATCCCTGCTTTTAAAGATTTAATCTACGCCCCTGATAGAAATACTGAAGAAAGAGGGCTGCAATCTTGATACCTAAAACTGCCTAGTTTTGCCACCGCGCATCCACGCCATTTTAAAATTTCCGCCAGCTTCCAGCGTCAGGCCTGTAGGTTTTTGATAAACCCATAATGCATGTTATTTTGGATAAAATCATGAATATTCATTAGGCATTTGCTCTTGATATTGGATATACGATTTGGTATCTACCAAAAGTAGGTAATTTTGATACCGGCCAAGTTTTTCTCTTCTTCTTTCGGTGTTTAAATGTCAAACAAACACTTCAAATAAAGAGGAAAGGTGTACTGTAATATGAGCACAAATGGTTTTACGCCTTTTTAGTAATTAAATGCCTCCAAGTAGCTTACAGCTTGCCAAGGCGTTAGGCGAGTCAATATTTGCTCGCTCACAATGTTATTAAGATTTCCTTCACTTAATCCTTTCTGCACTCGTAAAAGTAAATGAAAAAGGTAATCCATTTAGAATCGATTAGGTGGACACACCTTTTATGGTTAAGATACAGTACTTAGAAGTAATTATTTTTATTTCTTTCTTTGGCGTACTACCTAGAGATTATGACCACAAAATTTATTGTGCTTCCGTGTCCAATGGATCCAGCGAAACCCTACCTTCGTGGTAACATTGTACGTTCATCTGTTTGCCAGAAGTTTGCTTATTCAGTCTTGGTCTTGCTCAAATACTTTTAGACTTGATCTTGGTCTTACTGATATTGTCTCTGTCTTAGTTTTTCTGATATAGTCTCGTTATTAGTCTTGGTTTTGGTGTTGCCCATTTATTCTAATACTTACCGACACAATAATTATCTTAAATGCTGAAATTTTCTGTCAAACATGCGAGCTTGTCATGACATTTCAAGAAAATAGTGACGATAGTTGTCAGAGATATGATGAGGATACCGTGGATAGAGAAGGTTAGATATTAGGAAGAATAGGTGAACAGAGGACTCTATGGAATTTAATAAGAAATAGGTGAGATAGGTTGGTAGGACATCGTCTCAGGCATGAAGGGCTAGTCAGAGACATATTAGAGACAAAAACAGGAATTAAGAAGATTGAAGTAGACCTAGATTGGATTACTGCTCGCAAATAGTTAAGGATGTGGGATGTTCTACTTTTACGGAAATGCGAAAATTAACTGAGGGTAGGAAAGAGTGGAGGTACGTGAATCTTCTTAGGACTGACGACCTTATGATGATGATTATAAGGACTTTTAAGCGAATGATGAAGATACCGTGGATGGAGAAGGTTAGAAATAAAGAGGTATTAGAAAAAATAGGAGAACAGAGAACTCTATATAAGTCAATGAGAAATAGACGAGACAGGTTGTTAGGACACCTTTTCAGGCTTGAAGATCTAGTCAGGGTCATATAAGGGGCAGAAACAGAAGTCAAGGATAGTAGAGATAGACCCCGATTTGATTACTGTTCGCAAATAGTTATGGATGTGGCTTGTTCTAGTTTTAGGGAAATGCGAAGATTAGGAAGCAGTGGAGGTGCGTGTTCAATCAGTTAGGTCTGACGACCTCATGATGAAGATGATGATTATAATGCAGTTAACTATACTGAAAATTTCAAATACTAAAGGTTTTTAGTTCCAAGAAAAGAATACCTACATAAAAGTTGCTTCAAATAGTTTTGACTCATAAATCCAACGAAAGTACTTAATAATTTTTCGTTTAGTCTTGCATATTCAGTCTTGGTTCTAGTCTTAGTCTTGTTCCTTTAGTCTTGATCTTACTCTTGCTAGTATAAAGAAAGTGTTAGTCTTGGAAAAAGACAAGGCCAAGTCCAATTTTGCACATCATTACCTACCTCATGGCGACTGTTTGTACTTCGAAACTGACATGAAGAATATACGGTTATTTTAAAATTTTCCGAATATGTTTGTTTCAATACTTTATCTGACTGAAAAACAAAGTACCTTCTTCCAATATCATTGTTCGTTATTTTTCTAATAATTTAATATAGATGTACAAAATTATAGCATTTGGCAGTGCACAGTTGAACGTACCGTCCCAGGTTCAGCAGAAACGTCGTCTAGAGTGCCATGGTTTCGCATGCCAGACGTCTGAGGACGCAATAGTGATTGCTGCCACCCTGTACAAGTCTTTAATGGCACACATGAGCAAGGCGAGACAGGGACGCAAACCGAAGACCACGCGCGAAGGAATCAGTTGCATTTCAACGACCTCGAGCGTTCTAGATTGGAATGGCGACGTCGCGACGCCAGTCAGGCCGCCTAGGAAGAAAAGAAGCACGGCAACGTCGTCTGTAGCAAGCGCCAGCAGCGATCGTGAACAACCTGTTGACGTAAGCTATCATTTTCATATTATGATAAACTATGAAACCGTATGGGTTATGATACCTATATAACAGCCGTTAGCGATACCTGACTTTATCGATAAATATCCCTTTACTATATAAAAAGGATAGGTGGTAGATTCATTCTTATCTTAACGGTTTGCAAAATTTTGAGTAATTCATCAGTAATCAGCAGTCTTTTTAATTTCATGCACCTAACAGGTAATTAATCAAAGACTCCCAAAGAAGCCAAGGTAACGTAACCCTACCCTAACTTAACCTAACCTATTTTTTTTAATATTTTTAGCTGATTTTTTCAATCAGCATTAATAGATTCAATCTTCTAAGAATTTCTAAAAGATTGATATAACACCACATTCATAGCTCAAATATTAGCCAATCTCCCATACAGATTAATCTTCCGTTTTGTGCCTTATCTGCCAACTGGACTGGGTAACCACTAATGAAATCCATGGAACATCTACTATCAAATCCACCTCCTGAAAACCACCTCCAATTTACTAAAATCTACATTTTTTACCTATCCGCATGAAACCCAATCAGGACGAAATCCAATACAAATCGATTGAATCCAGTACAATTCGGATGAAATCCATCAAAGCATGAAGTCCAATGAAACTAGTTGAAATCTGTATGAAGCCCGAGCAAAATTAGAGTTAGATGTAACGGACTGACTAACTAATACGAAGAAGAAAATTTTTCTTCAAAATGTCTATGATAGACTTGTTGTATGTCCAAGATACTATATACGTAGGCACAAAATTAAGAAATAAATTATTAAAAACTCTCAATGTGTCAGTTCAGGTTCTAAAATCATTTCAGTTTAAAAATTCTACATGAAATCTAATGTAGTCCACGTGAAATCTCATGAAGATCGATGGTTCCAATAAAATTCAAATATCTTGTGAAATCCTCGAACAGAAATTTTTCTAGTGCTATAGGAACCTTACTTGACCCTATTGAGTGTTATGGTTTCATTTCAAGAAAATAAATAAACATTTAAAATACAATTCTAGGGTTAATTATTAGTATTGTAAATTTGATATTTATTTTTGAATAAGACCTACCGCCACGTATGAATATTATATATAAAAAAAATTATGAGTTCTGTCAGCACAGAGCATAGCAGCATTACGTAGTTGAAAGTTAGTATCAGCAATTTCTTATGCTGAAGTGTACGATTTGTTGCATACCTATTTACAAACAATTCCTTTGAATTTTTCAGAATTTTTTAACACAAAGAAAGTTATCAAACAAATTGTTCACAAAAGTGAATTTGGACCACTCGAAGCAATGGTACTAACAGTTTCGAGCTCAAAGTGACTGATAGAGGAGAAGAACTAGTTACATTAAAAAAGAATACAACGTGTAATTATACAACACGCTTCTGAAGTGAAACTTCATCAAACACACAAACATACTGGGAATTGGTTTAATGGTTTTATTTGTACATTATGCTTCACAATGCTGATACTAAATGTACTAATAAGCCATTGTTTCTCGTAAAAAGTAAAGGATAAAAAATGGTTACTGTGGGTTATCCCTAAGAGATGGACATATACCATCGCGGATTTTTATGAAAAACCTTTTTAAGATGTACAATACTGTAGTATATTATTTTGATCTATCTAGTAGAGTTCAAGCAGCGTTTGCAATGTAATCGCAAAAAATGTGTTTATTTACGATATCACATTAGAAACCTCTAAAATTATCAGTGTTTCTCTACTATATTATGCATGTGTTATACATATAAACCTTCCTCTTGAATTACTCTATCTACTAAAAAACCGCATTAAAATTCGTTGCGTAGTTTTAAATATCTAAGCATACATAAGGACAGACAGCGGGGAAAATGTGTTGCATGATTTCGTTACATAGCAACTCGCATGAAACGAACTTACCCTACCCTAAGATAAAGAAAGACCCTAAAATACATTTCTACTTCCATTTATTTTGACGAAGCATTCCAGACACCAACTATTGTGGAGCCGTTTTGTATGTCAACATTACGCGAAAATGATTTTCTAATGAAGGGTCGACCTCATTTCACGACCCCTCTTTCTAGTTAACATTCACTTGTTGCCATGAGCGTTATATCTTGTGCGTGTGGGTTTATTAAATATCCAGTCACACTTATTTGAATAATGTACCACGGCCTCTGCATATGAAATAACCTCCACCGACTAGCGAAATTAATTTCTATTAATTAATACCATTATGGTCCATATACGTTCACGTATTCGCGATTTACAAGATAAGAACTGTTACGCAATGCTTATAAGAAATCGATTAATTACAAATTTATACGCAATGTTTAACAAAGTAATTAAACATGAACTTAGGTGTCTATAGTGAGAGAAATGACCTATAAACTGTCTCTGTAGTNTGTCACCGGCGAATGATGAGAATACCTTGGATAGAGAAGGTTAGAAATAAAATGGTATTAGAAAGAATAAGAAAGAATAGGAGAACAGAGGACTCTACGCAAGTCAATAAGAAATAGGCGAGATAGATTGGTAGGGCTCCTTCTTAGGCATGAAGGTGTAATCAGAAAAATATTACAGGCAGAAACAGGAGTTAGGAGGGGTAGAGGTACACCTAGATTAGATTACTGTTTGAAAATAGTTAGGGATGTGGGATGTTTTAGGGAAATGCAAAAATTAGCTCAAGATGGGAAAGCGTGGAGGTGCGTGTCCAACCAGTCTTAGGACTAACGACCTCATGATAATGATAACTCATCGTTTTTAGGACACTACTAATCAATTTGGCCGAATCTTTCTTGACATTCAATTGATCTTATACGTTGAAACTTCGAGATATCCAATTCTCCAAATCAAGTAGTCAATATTAGCGATTTGGCAATTTTCTTTATGGTATTAAGATATGTTTCAAAAGCTTGATATATAATGGGGGAATTCTAAAGTCAAACACGTCGAAGATAACCGTCCTCTTGGCTGTTTTGACCGTCAACTTTACATAGAACTACTCTCAATAAGACGAAACACTATTTTTGTTAGTCTTTGAGATTAAGCCATCTCAAAATCTTGACGAATTACAACGACTTTTAGATAGGAGTGGACTGACGTTGGACATTGTGAAATCATTTTACGATATTCTGATTTTCTGCACAGGAGACATCGAGCAGCTGAATCCATTTCCGACGATAGCAGTGTGGTCGGCTGTGAAATTTGTTTTACACCATGCCGATCCACCCAACACGTCCACGTGTGCCTTTCTGCCCTTAATAACCGACCCAGACAATCTCGATAAACAAGGACTGTTCTGTCAACTGAACGCATCCGAAATTGCCACGTTCCAGGCACAAGGGACACAGAAACCAGATTCTCATGCCCCTTTATTTGCCGTAGTCATGCGAAGTAATGGTAAGTAAACAATGAAAGGGAGCAAACAATTTTTATTACCATTCGGTTTGTTTCTAATTAGTGCTACGTGTATTATCTATTCGTTGTTGTTTGTATCTTGCTCTTTATCACGCAGGCAAAACAAAATATATGCAAATGAAGAGGAATGCAGATTTTGGAATGTGTTAAATATTCATGTGCATACTTCATTTGTAGGACACTGTTAACTTCATGGTAACTAAATACAGTGTGAAACGATTTTTATTATAAAGATTAATAACTTTTCGTTAAAAATGACTTTGATATTTGTTAAATTCTCAAACAGCTTGGGATGATTTTTCGGTGTCGTAACTTCGAAATGTGGTGTTATAGACGGATGATGAGGATAACGTGGGTAGAAAAGGTTAAAAATGAAGAGGTATTGGAAAGAATAGGGCAACAAAGTATGGAAGTCAATAAAAAATAGGCGAGACATGTTGGTAGGACACCTTCTCAGGCATGAAGGTCTAGTCAGAGACATACTAGAGGCAGAAACAGGAGTTGGGAGGAGTAGAGGTAGACTTAGATTAGATTACTGTTCGCAAATAGTTAAGGACATGGGTTGTTCTAGTTTTAGGGAAATGCGAAGTTTAGCTCAGGATAGGAAAGAGTGGAGGTACATGTCTAACCAGTCTTAGGACTGACGACCTTATGATGAACTTCGTAACCTCACAATTTTGCAGGGATTTGTATTTATCAGCCACTTGACGATTGTCTTCAGTCTTAGTAATAGTCTGAATAACCAAAACAGTGTTTTCACCATTCCACGAAATAATTGTTGCAATCATAGTCATATCTAACCTTGACGTTTCACGAACATCATCTCAATCTTTTTATCATATTCCGTTAAAAATCATGGGCGAAAACCCAGCAACTTTCAGGAAAGGCTTTCGCCTCTTGGAAGTACATCAGCGTCAGCTTGAGGACATTTCCGAAACTGGTAATATTTTCAATGTGTACAGACAAAAGATCGACTCCATGTTCGAATCCGATTCCAGTCATGGAACTGACAAGGGTGATGGCAACTATCGGAGTTCTTATCAGACAGTCAGCAATAAATAGAGTTCAGCTACTTCGCCTGGAATGGGTGTAATCAATGGTTAAAAATTACGCGAAGAGTGACCACTTCTTTTCATCAACTGTAGTGGTCACAGCATAGTGACATCATGCGCGTTCTCCAAGGTCGTAGGAGCGTTTTGAACCCCGGCGGTTTTTGAAACACTGGCGCTAATAAGTTGTTGGGTGTTATCTTTACGAGTGATTTGCTTTTGTAGTAGATAGATAATATTGGGTGTTCGGAAAGTCATTTCGTTTTTTCCCGACAGAGGATTTAATTGTATTATTTTGCACTTGCACCCAACTTCACATTTAAGCCGTATAATTTTTATATGCTTTGAGAGCTCATATAGTAAGGCTTGTGTGTGAAAAATTCCAATTAATTCTACGCAGTAGTTTGGTGCCCTTGCCCTTTTAAATATGGAGAGCGATAAGCAGCATTTTCGACATATCTTACTGTTTTACTACAGAAAGGGTAAAAATGCTGTTCAAGCCAGAAAGAAATTGACTGATGTGTATGGAGAAGGTGT